GCCTGTACAACATTCTTACAAGATGAATAATCAAACTTTTAAACTACAGGGTATAGCATTTCATAACGTTAAATTATCTCTCCGCGTTAATTATGTAATTTGCAAGTTTACAACTTGCATTAAGTTTCTTACAAATAGTTTAATTAATTATGCATTTATGTAAATGTTATAACAGCGTTTTAATGCTGCGGTTTACTGCTATATCACTCATGATTACACACGATTGATAAACTTACGCATTATGAGGTGTAAGAGAAACGGTATGGAACTTTTCGCAATTTTGAATGAATGAAAAGGATGTGACGATAAAACGCAATGCAAATTTTTCTTTAGTGATAAAAAGTGTCACGTAAAAGAAAAGATTCAAGTCTGCAATTTTTCATGATTTTTAGGTACATGATGTTTCATTAACAATGGAACTTAACACAAATACAGGGTGATCCACAAATGATGACCAAAGGTCGTTTTTCAAGTTTAACTCGAAAATCAGGCTTTTTCCGAAAAGAGAGTAGTAATTTGTATAAAATTAAAAGACGAATCCGAAAATACCATGGTTGTTACCGTAGAGCAGTGGCGTACATGTGCCCAATTTCAAATTATTTCACTTACTAGTTTTTAAATTATTTAAAAAAATTAAAAACATTTTTTGAAGTTTAACACCCTGTATCTATTTAAAGAGGCGTCCTAGATAAAAACTTTATGGGGAAACTCCTTAAAATCCCTTAAAGCCCTTAAAATTCACCAAAGAATACGAGGTTTCATTTTTGGTCACCATTTGCGAATCACCCTGTATACATTAGCTAACTTTACTATACATTTCTACCTACAGGGTAAAAAATATATATCTATTTTTCATTGTTTCGAATAGTACTCCACCAAGCATGTTGAAAATTTCAGGAGATACATTGCATATGCATTTAGGGACAAAACGAATTTTAAAAATGAGCCTTTTTATTCTTGACATTTCGACAATTTGGACAAAAATTAAAATTTACTCAACGTTCATTAAAAATTCAGGGGGTATCAACCAGAAATTTGTATTACCAATTGCTTAAAATTTATATATTTTCATTTATATTGTAACTTAGATGGCCATCAAAATTTTTCTGATATCTACTTATAAGAACAACTGTTATATAATTTATACTAGGTCGGTAATAGGCATACTAATACTTCAAAAAATATAATTACAGGAAGATGTTTTCAACAAATCAATTAATAATAATAAATACCTTTATTGTAAATTATGAAAATACAACTTACAAAGGACGAAGTTTAGCTAATGACCATTCTTTTTAATCCTACTTAATTTTACCCAAACTTAATCAAAAATTAATATAATTATAATGAATATTTATAAAATACTTTAATATGTAATTTAAAAGAGTTATTGTTATTTGCAAATTGAGACTAATTGAATTAAATATTTTCACAGAATTAAAAATAAATGATAGCTGAGCTGTGAAGTGTCACAGTGAGCGACATTCGATTACGTAAATTTATTATATGAACTGATTCCCGAAATACAAGGTTATCTTTTGAATATACTGAAGACGATGTTTCTACTTATTAGACGATGGAGAAAAGTGACAAATGACATTTGAAGAGGTTATCAACTTTTAAACAATGTAAATTACTGAAAGCAGTCTATAACAATTATTCTGTAGGTATTTTTTGCAACCTAGCATAAGTTTGATAACATTGTTATTGATTGACAGTTTGTATTATTATTTAATTAAAATAGGTTACACAGAAATAGAAAATTGAAATATTATTTAGAATTTTCTACTTGTGTGTAACCCATTTTAATAAAATAATACACATTGTCAAACAATAACAATGTTGTCACTGTCACGGGCTACCACATAACATTGTTCATGAGTAATTAGGCCTCTCACGGCCTAATTAGTGAGATTTTGTTAAATTACCTATACGCATTTTGGACCGTATCAATGTTCGATATATCAAAATATGTTATAATTAAATCTGAAAATCCGTACGTACCTAATTGGAAAAAAGGCAGAAATGGCTTAAAGAGGTCTAAGAATTACAATTCTCTTAATAAAAAAACCTTGTTTAGGTTTTTTAATAATATCTCGCTCATTGTTAGATATGTACCCACAAACCCTATATGACTGCTCGACAGGAAACGTTCTATCCAAATATGTAAAAATATACAGGGTGTTCCACTTACTTTAGCAAAGTTGACATCCGCGGTCATTTTATTTGGACTTTTCTACTATCATTTTCGAAAAATTCATAAAACATTGTGCAACTTTTGTATTTCACATTTTTTTATAACTCTAAAAGCAAAAAAGCTCAAAATATAGTGAATCACCCTGTACAAAATTCAGAAAACACAAGATAAACATACGAGGTAAAAATATGCTTTTTCCACCTATTTTTAATGTATTGTCACTTGTTTTATACCCTGAACCAAATTTATATAACTGGTACAGTGAAGAAATATTGTTTCTAACTTGCTCAGATATCCTAAAATGGACAAAAAATTGCGTATAATAAACGCTTCTTTAAGTATTCCTCATGATATCGTACGAACAGATTTTTGTACAAATTCGCATGCAGTGTAATCTCTGCTTAAATTGTTTGACATTTTTACATGTGTTCATCAAACTCAACCTGTTTATCTTCATTTGCTTTGAAAATATCAAGATCGTTTGTGTCATATCGTGATAAAGTTGCTTTTCTAATATTTGCCGATTTCTGTGTTTATATAACTGTATCGTACGTTTTTCCATTTAAGCCTTATTGTTTAATAAACAAGATGTTAGTGTTTTGGGATGTTTTTTTTTAATTTCTTTGTAAGCAAAGATCCGTATGAGGGTATTGTTCACAAAATATAAAATAATAAGTCTGACGCAGAGTAATATTTATGCGACTGTATCCTTGAGTGGACACTAGAAGATTGACAAAAGAAAATAGATAATATTTTTGTATAGTGGGTAAAAGAAATATTAAAATTATAGCAATGTGATCCTGGCTCAAGCCGTCATCGAAGCTAATCTAAAAATTAACAATTAACAATCAGTGTGTATATATTAAAATTTATTAATATTGTTAATCTTGTTACTTATCCTTTGTCTTTTCTACAAAATTGTATTGTGTCGAATTATTATATATTTTATCTCCTCAGGAGTTATTAGCTACATAATTTTAGTAAATTTTCGTTATAACGTTTGTCTATGATGTTACGTTTATTTTTTGAAATGCTGTTCATTATAGAGGTTTGTAGGGGCTGTCTGGAAATTTCTGGAAAATATATGTCGAATCTTATTGTTATTGTAAATTTATTTAATACAGACTATTTACAACTTTGAGAGGATTTATTTAGTGTAGGAACAATGTATTAATATTAAATATTTTTAACAAACAGATTTGTTGAAACTACAAATCGGCGCTAAAATTAATGAAAATATCAAAATTGTTAAAACTTATTGAAAATCTTTGGAATCGTCTCTGACTTAACATACTACATAAAATGAGACGAACATTTGTGGCAGTAAATAGCATGCCGTCAGCTTCTATGTCCCGACTTTTTTGTACAGTAGTAGAAAAATTATTTGGTAATTTCATTTCAGGTAAATATCAGTTCTACTGTAGTTTTCATTAGGTATGCAAAAGTGTGTATTTTATTATTAAAATTGTTAGTGATAAAATATTTAGTCATTTCCAAGATTGTTAACACGTTGTATAGTACTATACACAATCAATATATACAGGGTGAGTCTCCAAAAAATGGAATCCACACATCAAAATAATAAGAAAAAACTCAAGTGTTGTTCTTCCTTAAAATAAGTGTTTTTCCTAAAACAATCCCAAAGGGTTTTTTTCTACGTGCTCTCTCAAAAATGGAATTTGAAAATTAAAAACGAAAACACGTGGATTCTGGAAACGTTAGCGACTTTTTCAAATAGAAAACTATGCCAAAGATAAATAGATAGTGAATGTTTTTTTCTAGTGACTTTATTCTGTTAGAATTTTAATGCAAAGTGTTTGAAATAGTTCCAAGCAACCTGTGAACAAAAATAAGGAAGTGAAAAGTCAAATAACAACGGATGTTTGTTGGCGACCACCGGTTTTTCCTACAAAATTTAGAACATATTTTCGTGAGAGAAATGTCATTATCTGTAAACAAAAATTTTTCAAGCCAAGGTTAAGCCTGCCCGTGCCAAAAATTTTCATTTTCATTGAACAGCTGTGAAAACATGTATTCGACGTGGTTTGTAATTTGAAGAATATAAAATAAAAAACCGTAATTTACTGTGTATAACGTATAATGAGATTTTAGAATTACCCACACAGTATATGGAAAATGCATTTAAGATTAATTTATGGTGTAAGATTGCGTTAATTTTAAATTAAATACAATGGTACATATTTGAAACATTATTTAACTATTTTTAATTTTTTTTTTTTGGAAAAAGGTGGTAGATAATTATTTGTTCATATTTTTTCTCTCTTTAATTTGGTATTTTTTTATAAGTTTAATAAGTATTTTCAAATTAATTACATAACGCAGCTCATAGAATTTTGTTTATATAATATTTATCTATTTATTTTAATTAATGTTATATTTTTTAAAAACGTTTTTAATCATACAACAAGAACGCGGAATAACATATTTTCAATTAATGTTTTTGGATCTAAGGATGAGAAAAATAAATTGTACGTAAGTCGTTGTAAAATGCTGTTATGTTTCGAATTAAATTAAGTGCCACAAAAAAGCAGCCGAACCGACGTCGTACGCAAAGCAGAATTCCCTACGGTATCAGATTTCCGATTATTACGTCGGCACGACCGGTCATTTCTCGATAACGCACGGCAACTGGATGCTGCCTGCAAATGACGAAACAAAAAAGAAGCGTTTTTCGGAAATCGCCCGTAGATCGCTGCGATTCCGTCGGTGGCCGTGGTGGGGACACCCATTGATAAAACCCGCCTATAGACACACCTTCTTAAATAGTGAGTTTGTACTCTCTGCTGTCCAGTGCAAAGCCTGACATACGTCGGTGTCGGTGTAATCGAGTGGCCTGTGTTTACAAACACACGATACACGAAACAATCGAGTTACTATAATACAGAGTCAGCGCGCGCTTGATCTGCTCAGTTCAGCTTTACGACCACTGTGTCTGCGTGTATAATTTTCAATTTTTTTTTGTAAATTCTGCGAGTAAGCTTAATCGTAATGGAGTATCCTGGTCATTTGGAAGGGATGCTGGACCGCGACCAAAGAACGGCCAAGTTGAGGTTCTTCAACGAAAGTGATATTAAGCCAGTGCCAAAAACGTACAGTTTCCAGGACAGCACGCCGAACGGCACAACCCCTGCGAAACGCCACTGCTGCTGTCCCACGAGGACGAAAAGACCCAGCAGCAGCAGCAGTAGCAGCACCAACTCTTCTCACCTCGCCTGCAGGAACGGGTACCTGCTGAACACCTTCCAAAGTAAGTAGTACCGAGATACCGAAGCAGCCCTTACTTCCGATTCTGATCTATAACGCGCGGGGTGGGCGGAGCATTGGCAACAGGTAGCCAATGAACGTGGCACTCTCCCCGGTGGGAATTCTCAATTTCACGTTTGGATGTGCCCGATTTAATCGAAATAGCCGCCGTGGTCTCGGTATCGGAGCGGTTATGCCTCGGGATGCGATCTTGTGCGTGATGCCGACCGAGCGAGACGCCCCAACCCACTGGAAATCGCTCTAACTGGATGATTCATTCTTTTACCTGCGAAATTGACGCGGAAATCTCTGCCAGCCGAAAACGCTGCGGCTGCATAATTAGCGCAATTGTTTTGGATGATGCTTCCAATTTCCAATCCTAACCTTCCATAACTGAAGAAAATATGTCATTAGTGATTTTCTTTATTTCAAATAGCTAAGAATTACAGATAATAAAATTAAATAAAAACGTATTTTTTATTATAGATTGGAAAGTACATAGTCAGATTGTTGCTAAACTACAACGATAACATTAAATAAATAAAAAATAAAGGTAGTTGGAAGCTACATAATAGTAAACAAAAAATATTTAATAATCCCTTGACCAATTAGAGAATCATACATCGTGGTTATATATCCACAAATTGTATCATTTCAAATTTACTTTCTTGGGCAAAATAAATATATCTAATTCAGTGACAAAGAAAAAAAATGACACAATGGTAAATTGAAACAATTATACGGCTTCTGAGAAAATCGAGTCAGTTTTAGCGGATTTCGGCTCGGTGTTTCAATTCGAGTCAATTTTTTTATCGCTTCCAAGGACTCAATAAAAAATGCGCTAACAGGGAATGCTCCGCTCGGCGGCATTTTGAGTTCCATTTTAATGGTCGCATTAAAAACGGAATGGCTGTAGAAGGCAAGAAAACTGCAACGGTAATTAACAGTAGATTTTTTTCGAAAACCGTAAGGTTAGATAAAAACCATAATTAAATTAACCGGCACATTTCTGTCTTTGTGGTGGATTTAGAATCATTTTTATATAGCCGGCGCACCTGTGCAACTGCCGACAACTGACGTTTTTCTTGCGATTATAATTTCGCAAAAATGCGGTAAATAGTGTAGTTAAGGCCAAATGGCCGACAATTATGGGCTATTAGCGAATCTCATAGTTCATTGTAGCTGCTTTTAACAATAAATAGATCGAGTTACCTACACCTGGCCGGTAACTGATCTTTATGTACTGTTTAGTCGCTGCAGGAATGGCAACTATCATCGTTAGCATTTTCAGCAGCATTTAATCTGTCTCGGCCACTGAGAGCATCGACAAATCTTAATTCCGAGCGCATTCCGCCTAGAAGATTCCCACACTGCAAATCTAACGTAAATATAAGTCGCATGTTCATAATTTTGAACTTTTACATGTAAATATTAAACGCAATGAAAAATTAAATCAATTTCTTCGATTTCTTTAACTTAATTTTGCCGCAGCGTATTTATATTTTCAAAAGTCGCGGTAGAAATATTTCAGTAGTGCAAGTTGGAACATGGTCATAACACATTTAATGGCCCCGGCGATGTCTGTATATACTACGGTTTTTTACGGATCCATTATTCATAACCAGTCTATTTTTACACAAGGTCAATAGTCACAGAGTCCCCAGTCGTAAAAAATCGACAATTCCAAGAAACTACTAGGTAGTAAATCTCAAATTAATTTACTGTTACGCTGGTAATTATGTGCGACTTGCGAACAATTATCACAACATAAAATATAATAATCTGGATCACTTCCTACAACTTTTTGTGTGTTTGACTTCCGTTCAAAATTCTAGCATGGAACTATAACGATACGACTTACGCTCGATGTTTCGGTACTCATTTTCTAGTTCTGAAAAAGCTTTTAAATTTCTACAACCAAACAACATCACTTGGGTTAACGTCACTGAATAACAATGAATTTTTTACCGAAGTGGTACCACTGTCCTTGCCTGCCGCCAGGGGTCAAACTGAGGTGGTTCTGCGGCAGCCGCGGTTCCAACAAATTCTCACGGTCCTGATTATGGGCCCAGAGCTTTAAAATGCATATTTATATAGCTTGTGTCGTTTTATTCCTCACCAAATAACAGTACCCATCTAGAAAAGAAAAAAAAAACATTGTGCGACAACGTTAACACGTGCATATATAAAAACATATAACCAAGATTGGAAGTCTTGGTGTACTAGTATTTGGTCGAGTTAAAAATAGCATATTACTCCAAAAATTGACATTTTTGCCTAAATAACTAAAGAGATGATTTTCTTTTCCAGGTGTTAAAAACGTCCTTATAGTAGTCTGCCTTACCCTAGTGACCCTTCCTACTGCTAATTCGATCCCCGTCAAAAGGGACACAATGGCCGATAGAATGAGTTCAGATATGAAGTGGATCAATCCTTGTAATATTAACACAGGAGGTGAAATTACTGAAAACCCGAGAAACACTGACTTCAACAGCAGCGAGCTTGGCAAGATCATCGGAGAAGCAACCCGTGCTTTTATCGCAGCGAATAATTCCCTTGACGACTTTGTAAGTACTTTGCTTGATTAATTCATTTATAAAGTGCAAGCGCTGTTTCCAATTATTCAAACGAAAACTAAAACTAAATTTTCGATTCTAAATTATGTGGCTGTTGAGGATACTTCTGTTTGTTTTAAGTGTAAAGTCCCCGGCGAAGCCGCCTCAGCTCTAGATCAGGCAACAGGATTCTGCGACAATTTTGTAAGTACATCTCTGCTGCCTGACATTCCAATAAATTAATCATAGATGCAATCGACGTTCAGTTCAGTTTTTAAAAATGCAACATTAGAGTGTTATTGAGAAAACATTTTTGACTCACGAAAGACTAAAGAAAACTGCTATTTTTTGTTTTGACCCTTGAAAATTTATCTCATGAACTAGTAGCGACGTTTATTTTAGTCGGGACTGTACTTCTGGGTGCAGTATACACTCCTCGCTAAATATTGCTACATCAATGAATAGAGGCTCGTTAGAGACTAATTACTGCACGCTTTTTCTCTATTTTTGCCTGAATCTAGAGGTCAGTTATCTAGAGAGGAAGTGTGTTATGGTCCGGCAGAATTGCAGCGACTTCCTTTTCGACGAATCGATAGTCTTCAAAGTAACAATAGTTATTTTATTAATGGCAGAGTGGCAGAGGAAAACGACACCTCTTGCCGGATGTAACAAAGACGCAAGTTATTTATATCCGATAGAAAAAGAAAGAGATACTCCGTCGCTCGGCAGAAGGAAGGAGAAGAAAAATATGATAGTATGTAATCAGACATCAAGTGACGGTATAATATAACACCTATTAAGAATACTAATTCTGGCTCGTAGTATTTTAGCTGGCCGTTGAGACAATTAATGAATGAAATGACGCGTTTGTTAAGAATTTGACAGTTAAAGTTATGCTGATAATAACGATGAGATGACCTGGCCGGAGAATCTGGGACGGACACAAAAAAGGGACTTAGAATGCCCTAATGAATGTCGAAAAATATTTCGTTTCTTTATACACGTTATACAAGGGAACTGGAAACAGTAGTATTTTAACTTTTAGTACAAATTGTACCTTATTCAATTCACTCAATTTTGCTCAATAATTTATCAATTTTTGTCCACACCCACTCTATTAGTATGAATACAACTAAAATTTTATGAGTGAATTTCAACAGAAGAGAAGAATTTTACTCAAATCCGTGACTTTTGACTTTATTCTGAGTATACAAAACCAATCAAGTGTTGACTTTTTCTCTAATATGACTTAAATTTAATTATTAATGAGTAATTTTGTACTATATGCTCAATATTGAGTGAAAATGTACTCAATAATTTCACGCAATGGATTCCTCCGTATCTTTATTGCCTTCACTTACACCAATTTTTTTACAGCGTACATTAAAAACGCTTCTCCATAAATAAAGCTGTTACATATATTGAACTCCAGAAACCACATCATGGTTAACATTATCAGCAGATTACATATTCAAGTCCTGTTACAGTTCCTTTTGATGTTTTTTGCTTAACCATTGAACCAGAGTTTAGAAAAATATGAAAAAAATGATTATTACAGCTCCAAAATAAATCTTTTGAACTATTGGTCATGTTTTACTCGTATCTGAGTTCATCTGTAGTACCTACGGATCTATAAGAACATATGAATCCTCGAATAGAAATTTTGTAGTATACATGTATATGAATTATTGTATTGGATTCGGTGAAACAAGTACTAGCGTTGGTACTACCCAACCTCGGCAGTTTCTCAACACGTTACAGTAATCGCAACACCTGATGTTGCTCCAAGGAACCCACGCGCCCACCGAAAAATTCTCTTTCCTCTCCGATCATTCCACATACTTAAAAGTTCACAGTAAATAAACCCACGCAGCATATAGTCGGCGGCAAGCTGTCTGCTAGGCAAGGCCAGCCATGATCCCGTTTCCCACTTATCTGAGTTGAACTTTCGAGCGTTTTCAGATAACGTGTGCTATTCTAACACCATCACCAGAAGATAACATGCCTACATTTCATCCTTAGAACACAAACCATTAGATATATACAAATTTACTTATTATTATCGTTGTTTGTCGTTATTATTTCAATGATCGCACTTCATCTGTTCGCATGAAGTCGCATCATTAATTTTCAAACGGCAAGGCCGATTAGGGAATAATTAGGAAATAGATTTTGCACAAATAATTTGTATAAATGGGGGAAACTTGGACCAACTTTGACTTATCTTCTTGTCTTTTTGTTTCAGGCATTCGGAACCTTTGGTAAAAATGAAACGACTGTCCACACCGATTTTATTAATAAACGTTTGCCTTGGTTAGAAACAGATTGGTTGGGAAATAAGCGTCTTCATGAAAATATTACTGCCGACGAACTTGCAGCTTTAAAGGTATGTCAGAAATATCAACATTCTTTACAAATAACTATGGCATAAGTGAATATATAGATATATTAAATTATTTTTGAAGTGTGAGGAATATTAATAATTATTTATTTTGTGCGGCCAAACGCCATAAATAATTAACTACAGAAAATAAATATTCACTCTTTCCGGACATTATTTCGCTTTCAAAATATTTTTAATAGTTAGCCAGTACAGTTGTTTCCTTTGCGTTTATCCCCGGCATCTCTAATGATTGTTCTTATTTTCAGGTTGAGGATGTATTGGTGAACGTTTATAAAATTCTACAACGACTGGCTGTGGGCCTGGAACAAATAACGTGGGATCAGCAGGACAAAGGAGACAATTTTAAAGAATATTTTGCAAACTCTGAACTTCAATTGAAGACGGTTCTCTGCGAATTGTATACTACCATCGAGGCACACGGACTTAAAATGCCTGAATACCCGACCAGGGACATTATGAGCGTGGATGAGAGGAGTAAAACCAGTAATACTGAAAGGAAGATTAGGGATTGGCTCATACTTAGGGACTATATCAATACTTTAGATTTTTTGAAACAATCTCTCGAACACCTAGTGAAGGATTTGACTAGCTCACCCGAAAGTTAATGAGTGTTTTTTTCTTAGTCCTATTTCAAAGAAGCGAAGACGGAGAGAATTTTAACGGCCTTGCGACAAGTTTTAGGCAAGATATCATATATTTCCAAAACGGCCATAAATCTACTTATTGTACTTGTTAGGATGATGTTATTTATTATTTAAATCAATATTTATTAAGTATTTATTCTAATTATATAATTTTATTTATTCTAAGTTGTAAATATATATTATTTTAAAAGATTTTAACGAAGTATTATTACTGATATTGATATTTGTGACTGAAGTTTGCTATATACATATATTTAAAATATAACTTAAATTTCTTTAAATTTAGATCTGTGATACAAATGTAGTACTCACATAAAATGTTTTTTTGTTTTTCAATGGTTGTTTCATTCTTTCCATATCTTCCCAAAAGCGGAATATTAACTACAAAAAAAGCCAGACTGGAAATAAATTATACATAAAAAATATTAAAAATATTTTAAGTACCTAACAAAAATACATAAAAATATTGGGCTTTGTGCATTACATAATATTACATTATATAATATTTACATGGAAAAATTAATGAGGGGCATTTCAATTCAAAAATTATTAGAAATCACATGTTTATTTATTTAATCAAATAAAATTTAAAAAAATAGATTTTAGATTAAATTAAAAACATACAGGGTGATTTCACATTATATACAGAAACTGCAGAAATATTAACAGCCAAAAAATAAACGGAGTTTGCTCTATAAACTTTTTTTCTGGGGGACGTGGTAAGTAAGATACAGGGTGCTCAAGTTTCCAAAAAAATATATATAACGTATTCAATTAATTGAACATTTTATTGAATATAATATTAACCTCGCGGTATTAACCAATAGCGTGCTACTGAAAGTGCCGCTCCATTTTCCTAGGAAAAAAATACGGCAGTGGCGGTTTTTTGTAAGAATAATGTTAAGTTCAGGTACTCTTACTTTGAATGAATGAAAAGCGTTTCTTGGTATTTTTTAATAGTAGCAGTATTTTAGGAGCTAATTTACTTATTTGCCGACCACAATGTTCAAATTTAATCCACATACCTATATTTGTTTAAAATCCATCTGCATCCATTTGTTTAAAATCCAACTGAAGAAAGGAATTATTTTGTCTGCATTATCAGTTAGTAAGCATTACGATGATCTCGTTTTAGTATCATAACTAGCTGTTTATTTCTGAACATGCAGTCCTTGGTCTTATGAACACGAGACCAATTGTGGCAAAGAATAGAAGAAAATTGTAATCTCCTCAGGGAAAATCATGTCATGATAAATTCTTCTATAAATAGCCTGATTAGAAGATGTCAAAAGTACATCGATGCGAAAGCACTTCCTTTTGAACAATTGTTATTTGCCAATGTTATTTTTTTATTTAGTTTGATATTTTTCCAGAAATAAAATTATTTTTACAAAAAGCCGCCAGTGGCGTAACCTTTTCTTGAGAAAAGTTGGCGACGCTTTAGTCAGTGGTTAAAACCAGGAGGTTTTCATCAAATAAACACTAAAACAAATTAATTTATTACGAAAATTCAATAAAACGTCCCAAATTTCTCCTTTTAGTACGTGAATGTAACATTATTTCTACAAAAAACCGCCAGTGGCGTATTTTTTTCTTGCACACCACTGGTTAAAGCCACAAGCCATATCATAAAGTTCTATAAAAGAATGTTCGAAAATGCTTAGTTTTCAAGATATAGAATGTTGAAATTTGAAAAATATTCTGAAGTATTTTTGAAGAAAGAAGGAGTAAAGTAAAATTTCGCTGAATAAAGCAGTGGCGGGAATACGGGAGATTCGCTACCACAAAAACTCAAAAAGTTCAACGACATTAGACATTTGTGATGGGTGTTACAATAACAATGTTCGTTTTCAATTAATTCGAACATCATTATCAATCGCTTCAATGAATTTAAAATAATTCTAGAACTACTAGTTTCACAAAGAGAAAATTAAACCTCTTCTTCCACGAGCGATAGTTTTCCGTTTATTTGTAATGAGAATTTGTACAAGAACGACTTTATTTATGTATATTAATGTTGTAAACGACTACACAGTGAAAAAATAGCTTAGTGTAAATTCAAGGTTATATAATATGTTCGAAATTATTTTGGTGTTGCATTTTTAATTAGAAGAACTAAAATGTGAGAATATGATCATACTGTGTAAAAATCAGGACAAACAAAGACCGACGCACAGTTGGACTCTGTTGTTAGACAATACACATGTTTACTTATTTGTAATTAAGAACTGATTTTAGTTGGTTTACCAAGCTAATTCAATGGTTATTCAAGCAATATTTACTCAATGAATACTGTTATTACCTTAACCTAAGTAAGTGTAGACTCGAACGCAAAATTGTGTTGATTTTAAAATACGATACAACTTTTTACTATTAAAATATTAAGTTTGCATTCGTACCAGTTGTTTAACTGGATTCTTTTTTTTTATTCTTCTACGACACTAATAAATAAACAAACAAATCATTTATAGTCCAAAATTTTATACTAAATACGTTTTTTGCATAAAAAAATCTAATATTAATGGACCAATATTGCTGTAGGTCGCGTCATCTAGCGGCAATGATGAAATTGATACCATTTTCGTATTACGCATGCTGATGAATACGATACCAGATTTCATCGAAATCCGTTGAACAACTTTAAAGATATTTCAAAAAATAATTGGAAAGAAAATTAATAGAACACCCTGTAGAGCGAAAACGAGTAACATTTTGCTAAGGCATGTTGGGCCTAAATGCTTTATTTTGATACCAGCTATCACTTCCAGTTAATGTTTAATTAATTAATTGTACAGAAAATCGAATTAAACATACATTTCTAAATATTTATTTACCTCCTATCCTACTGCATCCGTTGCAGGAATAAACATATGCCCTAAGCTTTTTCAAAAGTTCACATTTGTACAAAATATTTGTTAACTTCATGAAATAGTGTCGTTTTCTTTGAATATTCAATCTGGAAAATTTTCAGTTCGTACTACTGACTAGAAAATCGAGGGGAGTCCAGGTCCTTTTTGCTTAATAAATAGCGTATACTAGTAGAAATAAATAAAAGGTCTTCCATTAAGGGGTTTCGCTTTGAATTGAGCATCATTTTTTACTTGTGACAGACGGAGTTTAGTTATATACAACGAGATTAATAAAAACGGATCTACATTCCTTTGAGCAACGTTCAGAAGTGTCGTGAAAATTTCGTATGAGACAGTTCGAAACATCCGTACCAGGTTTGGTCGCAAAAATACGACCAATCTGATTAAACGAAAACATTGCTGTTGTATCTGCTTGTGTCACATAAATTCATGGTCTGTTGCAAGACGTTTGCAGCATTTCACAAACCAGGATACATCGCATTTTGCACAAAGATTTAGACCTGCATTCTTATAAGAGTCAACTGATGGCAATAAGCGAAATTGTCGCATCTGGAGCTCCGAAAACCCAAGAGTAAATATTAGTGTCAGATAATCTCTCCGGTGATACCGCTACAGTAAATGGCTGCGGGACGGAAATATGCCGACTAATTTTTTGGACCTACGATTGAAGAACTGAATCTGGAAGACGTTTATTTACAACAGCGTCGCGGAGACTTCAATCGGCCGTCTAGATCATATGATTTGGCCCCGCTGGATTTCTTTTTGTGGGGTTATGTGAAAGGTAAGGTGTACGCTAATGCTTCAAAAGTGATTGGAGCGCGCGAACACAATATCCGAATTTTTTTTCTACAGAGTTGCCTACTTTTCCGAGCTGCACAAAATGAAAATATATTTGCATATACAGGGTGTTTTTAATTTTTTTAAATGGAAACCTATATTTTTTATGGCATTATCGAATTCTACGTGAAAAATTAACGGGACTTTGTGTTATGATCCCTATTAAAATATTGATAGTTTTCGAGATAATCGACTTTTCATTTTTTTTCTTGTTTCGTCACTTCTAGTAGTTGACATAATTTTGATTGTATGACAGCTAGAAAATATTTTTTTTCGGGAACTGTAGAGTGAAGATGGCTCTTTCAAAAAACGTATCAAAAGTTGACCTGCGATATACAGGGGGCAAAAAAAATCATACCAAACCTGATAATTTAAAATTTGAAAAATCTCGACTTTTTCAAATAGAACATCCTGTGTTTTATGATTTCATTAGATGACTTTCTGTAGACCCTACAATTGTAATGTGATTATTTTATTGTTATTATGCTTTTCTTATTACCTATTTATTTTTCAGGTTAGAGAACACCTAAATCACGTATATTCAAACCAGTGGTTAGGTCGTGGTAGTCTAGTTCCTTGGCCCGCACGTTCGCCTGACTTAAATAGTCTCGACTTTTTCTTGTGGGGTTATATGAAGGAGCGAGTATACGAAGTACCACCAACGGATATTCAAGACTTAAAAGAAAAGATTCCAAACGAGTTTCTAACGATAACGCCTCAAATGATAAGAAATGTCCAGATTCATTTTCATCGTAGATTAATGCTTTGTGTAGAAAACAACGGCGGACAGTTTGAACATTTATTTTAAGTTAGCTTGCGACTATGAGTATTCTTTTTTCAAAATTCTATTCATCCAAATTTTTTAATCTCCAATTTCACTAATAACTTTCCTAACTACGGTAACAGTGCTTGATTTTCGATATGATACGGATGAAACTTCTTCTTCAATATTTTATTTGTCAAGCTTTTGAAAACTCTAAGGTTAATACTAATTTACTGGCACTAATATTTGGATTTTCAATAGCAGACGACACAACTTTAAACTAAATATTATCGTTATTACTTTTATGTCTCCTGGTAGTTTTCTTATAATTCGCATTTGCTGTTCATTCAAACCCTTCCTTCATATTTTCAAAACAGTGTGAATCTCTGTAAATTTGGATTATTTGCTTTGTAAATACGTGCTGCTAGCAAATATTTCCCATATTTTGCTAATTCTTAATCACTTGTAGCGATTTTATAGTTTTTTGATTTTATTCACAAATAAATGGTAACTTTCCACAAAGACTTATTTATTAAACTCAAATATCTAACTCTTTCAGTTATTAATTTTTATTTTAAATAGTGTAGTTAGACAACTAATAAATTTAATAAAACAAATACCCTTACAACATTTTTCCCGACAAAGGAACGGGCGCAAATCCGGTATTTTACATAAAAATGTTTTTTTTTGCAAAAACTACGCAACTTAGGTATAGGGAATGCTATTAAAAAATTGTAGGGTCTACAGAAAGGCATCTAATGAAATCATAAAACACAGTGTGTTCTATTTGAAAAAGTCGAACTGTTTCA